CACTGGCCCCACAGCCCTATATTAAAGCTACACTGTGTATACATGCTTGTAAAAGTGCTGTTGTGAAGCCAGGTACATGCTGGTAATCCCAGCAGTTGGGAAGTAGAAGCAGGACCAGGAGATCAAGGACATCCTTGGCTGCATAGCTAGTTCAACAGCCTGGGCTACATGAGACCTTATCTCAGAAAGACAAACAGACAAAGAAGAGGGAGGAAGGGAGGAAGGGAAAATGTTAGTCTTAGCTGGACTTGGTGATACATACCTATAGTTCCAGCTGCTTGGAAAACTGAAGCACGAGGGGTCACTTGAGGTCAGAAGTTAGGGCAGTCTGGGCAGCATAGGAACACCCATCTCAGAATTTCTGGGCTGGTAAGATGACTCAGCTGGCGAAGGCACCAGTCGCCAAGCCGGACAGCCCGAGTTTAGAGCCCCAAGATCCAAATGGTGGAAGAAGAGGACCAGCTCCCAAAAGTTGTCCTCTAACGTCTACTTATATGCTGTGGCATGCATGCATGCACACATGCACACACACGCACACACACACACACACACACGCGCGCACACACACACACACACACACGCACACACACACGCACACACACACACACACACACACACACACACACACACACACACGAATAAACGTAAGTTTATAAAGGAAATAGTGCTGTCTTGCTGGTTATTTACTTAGTTGGAGTGTTTTGTTGTTTCGTTTTTACAGTACTGGAGACTGAGCCTAGTGTCTCTGTACTGAGCTGCATCCCCTGCTGAATTAGATTTGGGGAAGTAGTTTTGTTTCGTGTCTGTGTGGTAGGTGAGTACCTGTTTGTTTTTGTGTTGATACAAGGTCTCATATAACCCAGGCTGGCCTCAAACCGACCTGTCTGTGTGGTAGGTGTGTGCCCGTTTGTTTTTGTGTTGATACAAGGTCTCATGTAAGCCAGGCTGGCCTCAAACCCACAATATAGTTGAAGATGGCCCTAAGCTTCTGATCCTTCTGATCCTTCCCCAGGTCCGGGGAAGGAGGGAGGGGGAGTAAGAAGGTGGGGAAGTGGAGGGGGGGCCAGCCCCAGGACATGCTGGCTAGCTAAGCACTCCAACTGAGCCAGATCCCCAACCCCTGAACTAGATTTATAAGTGTAAAACTGGATGATTTGATTACACTGTAGAAAGCTATAAAAGAAATGCCAATGCGGTGTTGAAGAAGAGATCATTTCAGAGATCAAAGGAAGTTCCACAGTGACGAGCATTACCTGTGAGCCATGTAAAGATTCAGGTGTAGGAAAAAGAGACAGCAGCACTACTCTGATAACTCTGCTACAAGTGTCGAATGGCTGTGCCCAACAGAACATCAGGAACCTTGAAGAGGTCGGTGTTGGAAACACTTTTTATAACTTCACTTCAGTGAGCAGACATTGTTCTCCTTCCATCTAGACACATATGCCAGTTATCATGAGAAAAGGTCCTTCAGCCTGCTCGGCTTTGTTAATGGCCACCTGTAAGTTACAGGTCAGAGAAATGAACAAAATTAGTATTTCTGTGAATAAAATACAAATATAGTCCAACCTTTGGGAATGGGGGAAAGCCACAGCACTTACAAGTATGGCAGATTGGCTAGTGATAATGTTATAGATGGCAGTGCTTGCTGATCTTAGCTGAGTGGATGTGTGCTTGGTGCTTCCTGATCTTAGCTGAGTGGATGTGTACTCAGTGTCTCCTTTTAGGGGCTGGAGAGATGACTCAATGGTTAAGAGCACTTGCTTCTCTTCCAGAGGACCTGAGTTGTACTCTGGACCCATGTCTGGTGGCTCAAAACCATGTAACTCCAGCTCCGACACCCTCTTCTGGCCTCTCAGGCATTGAAGAAACCCACACACACACATACACATTTTAAAAAATTTATAATAGTTCTACCAGGGGCTGGAGAGATGGCTCAGAGGCTAAGAATACTAACTATTCTTCCAGAGGTCCTGAGTTCAATTCCCAGCACCTATATGGTGGCTCACAACCATCTGTAATGAGATCTGGCTCCCTCTTCTGGCCTGCAGGGATACATACAAACAGAACACTGTATACGTAATAAATAAATAAATCTTTAAAAAAAATAGTTCTACAAATTTAAAGGCACAATTTATACTTTTATAATAACTCATAAGACTTTTTTAAATTTTTATCAAATGTATTTAGTGCATGTATGTATGCGTATGGGCCTGTGCGTGCCATGTGGAGGTTAACAGACTATTCTCTCCTTCCACCGTGAGTCTTGATGTTCAAACTCAGGTCATCTGGCTGGGCATCAAGCCCCTTTTCCTGCTGAGCCAGCCACATCACCAGTCCCCTGGAAGAGTTTTATTGAGTGAAACTCTGGTTTCTGTTTTCACGGTTTCTTTCATTCATGTCATAAACATTTATGACATAAAACTCACGATTTTGAACATGCTTAAATGTTCAATTCAGCAGTAGCAAGTACCTTCACAAGGTTTTGTAACTATCACCTCTATTTCATCATTCCAAAGAGAAACTCTGTAACCCATTGAGCAATAACTCCCCATTCCTTCCTTCCTCTAGCCTCTGTGACTGCAATTCTACTTCCTGTTTCCCTGGGTTTGCCTGCTTAGGTGCCTTAGATAAATAGAATCATGCAGTCATTATTATTTTATACACAGCTTATATTACCTCAATATTTTTTAAAGTTCATCAATATTGTAGCATGATTCAGAACATTGTTATGTTTGTATCAGGATCTGACCATGTAGCCCAGGGTGGCCTCAAATGCAGTATGTGGCTCAGGAGCCTCAAATTCACAATCCCCCTGTCTTAGCTCCCAGAACACTGGAATTATGGCCTAGGCCACCATGCCCATCTACTTTATTCCTATTTGCTGGGTGAGGCAGGAGTTATAGTACTGGGGATTGAACCCAGGCCCTCACACATGCTAGGCAAGTGCTCAACCACTGAGCTGTATCCCACCCAGCTCCACTTCATTTGTTTCCATGGCTGAGTAATGTTTTTGCTCTGTGTAGGTATCATTTTTTTTTTTAATTAATTCCTCTGTTGATGCTGCTTACTTAGATTTTTATATTCTGGCTGTTGTGAATAATGACTCTATCAACATTAATGTACAAGTATCTATTGGCATAACTGTTTCTAATTCTTTAAAGTATGTTCTTGTGAATGTAACTGTTGAGTCACATTGTGATACAGTGTTTAAATTTCTGAATAGGCTAGGCATGGTGGTTCCTGACTTTAGTCCCAACAGAAGCAGGTGGACCCAGCTTGGTCTTCATAGCAAGTTCTAGGCCAGTCAAGACTACATAATGAGACCTTGTCTCATAAACAAAAAAAGTAACTAAATAAATTTCTGAATAATTGACACACTTTTTGTACTGGCTGGTTTTATGTCAACTTGACACAAGCTGCAGGAATCAGAGAGGAAGGAGCCAAAATTGAGAAAATGCCTCCATAAGATCCAGCTGTAAGGCATTTTCTTAATTAGTGATTAATGGCGGAGGGCCCAGATCACTGTGGGTGGTGCCATCCCTGGGCTAGTGGTTCTGGATTCTATTAAAAAAAAAAAAAAAAAAAAAAACAGACTGAGGAAGCCATGAGAAGCAAGCCGGTAAGCAGCACCCCTCCATATCTTCCTTCTGTATCAGCTCCTGTCTCCAGATTCCTGCCCTGTGTGAGTTCCTGTCCTGACTTCCTTGCATGATGAACGGTGATGTGGAAGTGTGAGCCAAATAAACCCTTTCCTCCCCCAGTTGCTTTTTGGTCATGGTGTTTCTTTGCAGCAGTAGAAACCCCGAGACACTTTTCTGTAGCAGTTGTCCCGTTCTGTGTTCCCTCCAGCAATGTCCTATAGTCCCAGCTTTTACTTCTTCCTCATCAACACTTACAGTTTTACAGTTTGGAAAATAGCCCATCCTAGTTGGTATTAAGTGATACTCTTGATATTTTCTTAATAACTAGTGGCGATAAGTGTCTTTTCACGTGCTTGTTGGCCATTTATTATTTTTTTGGAAAATTTCTAATTAAGTCTTTTGCTTCTTTTTTAAATTCTAGTTATTTTCTTTCTTTCTTTTACTTTCTTTTCTTTTTAGCTAAGGCTGACCTGATACCCGTTATATAGTCCTCAGCTTCCCAAGTGCTGGAAGGCCAAGAATGAGTAATCATTCTTGCTCTATTTGACCTGTCAATCACTTCACTATTTCCGTTAGTCCTCCAATAGTATATGTGAAAGTCTTTATTGAGTTCTTATTGTCTTAAGTATGGATTGTAGTTCAGTTATTCTGGGTACACCTGTGTCGACAGGACTGTATCCCCTCATTCTGTGATGGTAGAAACTTGGACCTTTTCTCTTCAAAATACATTTTTTTTTTTTTTTTTTGGTTTTTCGAGACAGGGTTTCTCTGTGTAGCTTTGCGCCTTTCCTGGAACTCACTTGGTAGCCCTCGAACTCACAGAGATCCGCCTAGCTCTGCCTCCCGAGTGCTGGGATTAAAGGCGTGTGCCACCACCGCCCGGCTTCAAAATACATTTTAAAATGAATTGATCATGATAAATTTTAGGCCAGCCAGGACTACACATCAATGTCCTGTCTCAAACAAAGCTGGTAAAGGGAAGAGAAAGCAAACCCTGCTTAATTGAGTGCTTTAATGTATACTAAGTAACCTTCCAAGAAACCTGGTGAATTAGTCATTATCTGCATGCTACAAGTCAGAGAGCTGAAAACAGTTGCATGTGTGGTTTGTTTAACTTCCCTGATCATGCATACATAAATAGAAACATCAGCATTGTAAATGGTGGTGCTACCGTGTGTGTGTTCTGCTAGTCATCTGCGACCAGGACTACCTTCACATTAAATGTTCTATTTTCTTCAACTTCTTATCATGGTCATGGCTTTTTCAGACAGTTTAAATCACCTAGGGAACAAGATAGGATAAGAATGAGTGAGCCGACAGGCCTCTGCTGTTAAAGTACCGTTGTATCTGTTTCCTCAGGAAATTACTACAATCAAGGAGAGATTCGAAGGAAAGAACTTTTGCAGAGCTGTGATGTTTTGGGGATTCCACCCCCAAATGTAACGATTATCGACAACAGGTAATTTGTCCTTTCATAATGGAGAAATCAGTTGGCAATAAATATGTATTGGTACACTGAAGAGACACAGACCTAATGTGAGTGTAAATCCTTATTTCAGAAGTCTGCTTTACTTTTGTTGTTGTTTGGGTTGGGTTGGTTTTTCAGACAGGGTCACAATGAAGCTGGGGTGATAGTTATGTGCTGCTTGGATCAAACCCAGGAGTTTGCACATGCGGAGTGCTTCACCAGCCCAGCTCCATCTCCAGCCTCCTGTACCTCCTCGTAAGTTTTCTGTCCCAGGCCTGGAAGCAGCAGTTTCTCCAAGGCTTGGTTGTTCTTAGCAGGGAAAATGTGTAGAGACTCTTAGCTGCACAGTGTTAGCATTCATTTCCAAAGTGTCATTATTTCTCAGTGTTACCTGACCTCGGGAATGGACAGAACTAGGACATCTATCTTTTAAAGAGATGGAAGAATCAGGAATTTATACCGATGATTACAATAAAAAGTATTTCAGGGTTTTTACTTAAAAATCCTTCATTTTTTTTTTTTTTTTTTTTTTTTTTTTTGGTTTTTCGAGACAGGGTTTCTCTGTGTAGCTTTGCGCCTTTCCTGGAACTCACTTGGTAGCCCAGGCTGGCCTCGAACTCACAGAGATCCGCCTGGCTCTGCCTCCCGAGTGCTGGGATTAAAGGCGTGCGCCACCACCGCCCGGCAAAATCCTTCATTTTTACAACTGAATTTTTCTTATCCTATACTGACCATCTTGTTTTCCAACAACATAAACATAATTACTCATTTTCTTTTTTTTTTTTTTTTTTTTTGTTTTTTGTTTTGTTTTGTTTTTGTTTTTCGAGACAGGGTTTCTCTGTGTAGTTTTGCGCCTTTCCTGGAACTCACTCTGTAGTCCAGGCTGGCCTTGAACTCACAGAGATCCGCCTGCCTCTGCCTCCCGAGTGCTGGGATTAAAGGCGTGCGCCGCCACCACCGCCCGGCTTCATTTTCTTTTTTAATATTGTTAAGAAGTTGCCAGGTCAAATGGATGGAACTAGAAAATATCATCCTGAGTGAGGTAACCCAGACTCAGGACAATCATGGTATGTACCCACTCATAAGTGGATACTAGATATAAAGCAAAGAACAATCAGACTGCAACCCACAGATCCAGGGAGGCTACCTAGCAGGGGGGACCCTAGGAATACTGTGGCTTATTGTAGATGTAACCAACCATACAATTAAAATCACATTTCAGTACAAATAAAATACCACCATAGCTTATAATAAGTTTTGGTTTTGCCCAATCACTGGGCATGCTTTAGTGAAACATTTCACTGTTAGGATAAGAATTTGTATCTTATCAAGCTGAAAGGATATGCTGGCTGTATTTTTAGGAGGGGAGGCTAAGCTTTTTAGATTATAGATTAGCCTATAGAAAAATATCTGCTGTAAATCAAACAGTGAAGGGGAAGATGAATAGGAATCTCACTTACACAACTTGAGTAAAGCATAGCTCTCTGAACAGATGAAGATAGGTTTCTTCTGTATCACAGAATCTAATCAATATTTATATGTATAATTCAGCTATTATGTGGCTTAAAGGGGCTTATTGGGAAATGTTACCATTTTTACTATTTTCTACAGAGAAAATATTTTCCAGTTTCAAATAACTCTGGACTTTGGAATTATAGCCTGTTTTTATGTTCAAAAAAAAAAAAACATTTAAGTGGAAAATGCTGAAGGACCACTGAACTCAATGTTGTATTTACATATCTGTATCTGTATAAAATAATGATTATAAATGTTTGTTTAAAAAGGTGAAGTGCAAATGTGAATTTAACAAGAAGTTATAGCTTTTCAACACTGTACACAAACTCCTTTGTTACAAATAAATATTTATGCTTCTTAAAAAAAAAAAAAAAAAAAAAAAAGAAGTTGCCAGGTGATGGTGGCTCATGCCTTTAATCCCAGCACTTGGGAAGCAGAGGCAGGCAAACCTCTGTGAGCCTGAGGCCAGCCTGGTCTACAGAGTAAGTTCCAGGACAACCAGGGCTACACAGAGAAACCCTGTCTCGAAAAACAAAACAAAAAAAAAATTGAATTAAAAAATAAAAATAAGTGCTGGGCAACAGTGGCGCACGCCTTTAATCCCAGCACTCAGGAGGCAGAGGCACGTGGATCTCTGTGAGTTCAAGGCCCGCCTGGGATACAAAGTGAGTTCCAGGAAAGACGCAAAGCTACACAGAGAAACCCTGTCTCGAAACACCCCCCCCAAAAAAAAAAACCAAAAAATTAAATACCTTATATTTTTCTATGTGAATATATTTGTTGTCGCTTGCTTATTTAATTTTACAAAATCAGAGAATGGGTTTGTGAGTACCACAAAATCTGAGACTTAAAAACTTGCACTGGAGAGATGGCTCAGTGGTTAAGAGTACTGACTGCTCTTCCAGCAGACCTGGGTTCAATTCCCAGCACCCACATGGCAGCTCACAACTATCTGTAATTCCAGTTCCAGGGGACCTGATGCCTATGGCAAAACACCAATACATTTGGAATACATTTTAAAATAAAAAACAAACAAAAAAAACTTGTCCTGTACCAGTTAGTTTTGTGAATTTCACTGTTTGGATGCTTAAAAGATCTCTCATCGGTGTGCTCACATACTGGGGTTTGTGCTTGGGGTTTATTTATTTTTGAGGTGAGGTCTTTCTGTGTAGCCCTTGGCTGTCTTAGAACTCACTCTGTAGACCATGCTGGCTTTGAAATCACAGAGATCCACCTGCCTCTGCCTCCCGAGTGCAGGAATTAAAGGTGTGTGCTTCTGTGCCCAGTTCCTAAGTAGTAGTTTTTCAAATGTTTCTTAAAATATTTTGCCTCTAGGAAGGCTGAGGTAGGAATAGTGCCATGAGTTCAAGGCCAGCCTAGACCTGACTGGGCAGCCTGAGTTTAATCCCCAAGACCCATGTGGTGGAAATAGGGAACTGATTCCTGTATGTCATTCTGTGACACAAACATACACAAAGATAAATATGAATTTTTAAAAATTTACACTGTGTTTATATATAATGTGTACACACATAAACATATATGTGTTTAATATTTGCTCTGCTGGTTTTTAATTACATTTATTTATTTAGGGTGTGTGTGCGCGCGCGCGTGTTAGTGCGTCAGAGGACAATTTGTGGGAATCCGATCTCTCCTTCCATCGTGTGGGTTCTAAGGATGGAACTCAGATGTCATCAGGTTCGGTGGCAAGTGTCATCACCCTCTGAGCCCAGGGGTCTCACTGGCCCTGCTCTGCCATTTGTAGAGAACAGAAGTGGTAGATGAAGGAATTGTATCTCACTTTTTCCCCATGCTCACTGGCCAGGAGCTCACCCTGTTTAGCGGTGAGTGGGTGACTTTACAAACACAGCCGACTTCATATTTTGGAACATACAGAGGAGGAGGACGTGACTCACTTGTCTAAGAAGTCCTCCCTCTTGTAAAGATTCTAGATATACACTTCGCCAAGGAGCAGGAAGACCTGCCAAGTAAAGAGCTCTCCGGTCCCTACACCAGGACGGGACCCATCATCTTTATCACTTGTTTATCTTTCTTTTCTACATCTTCTCAACAAACTTGATCTCAATTTGTTTGGGGTTAGGGTGGGGACAGCTTGTTTCTTGATCGTAGAAGATTAGAACATGAATATTATTGGCTGAGGAAAGGGTGTGACCGCTCTGGACACAGGAGTGAAATAGAGTACAAATGAGTGTTTGGTCAGCTGAGACTGTTGTAGATAGTTTCAATAGGAGGATCTCTCCTACACAAAGTTATCCAGAAACAAAATGAGTCCAGGATAGCTCAGCAGCAGCATCAAAAACTCTTCAGTGGTTGTGAAGATTTTACCATAAAGATAGCATAATTAGGCCAGGTGAGGTGGCGCATGCCTTTAATCCCAGCACTCTTGAGGCAGAGGCAGAAAGATCTATCTCTGAGTTCAAGGCTAACCTAGACTACAGAGCAAATTCCAGGACAGCCAAGGCTACACAGAGAAACCCCATCTTGAAAAAAAACCCATCTTGAAAAAACAAAACAAAACAACCATAATTAACTGGGCATGGTGGTACACACCTATAATACCAGCTGAGCAAGGAGAATCATGAGCTTAAAGCCAGCCTAGGCAAGATCTACCATAATTTATTTAATATTTTCCTGCTATTTAGATTTTTCTAATGATTTGCAATTTTGAGATGTATTAGTAAATCTTTAAACCATTAGAAGATTACCCAATAATAAACTGGTAGGTCAAAGAATATGACTTGCAATTTTTTTTTTCATTTAGTTGCTTTGAGAGCTTTTTTTACTGTGCTGGAGACCAAACCTGAGCCTTGTGCTGCTCAGCAAATGCTGCCTCCTTGGCTCCTCCCTAGCCTGGCAGCTTTCTCCATCCAGGAGTGAAAGCATTCTTGCTGTTTCTGTAGAGGAATCTTAGTTTTTGTTATTGTTGTGAATAAGGCTTTTATTGGTCTGTTCTTTAACTTTTTAAATTACATTCACTATGTATGCTATGTACACATGTATGATATACATTCATGCTATCGTGTGTGTGTGTGTGTGTGTGTGTGTGTGTGTGTGTGTGTGTGTGTGTGACATGCATGCCATGATACTCAAGTGGAGATCAGAAGACACATTGCGGAAGTCAGTTCTCTCCATCCACCACGTGCCTCCCAGGGATCAAACTCAGATCACCAGGCCAGAATAGCTCTTTTGGAAAATTGGTACATTTTTATTTTGCGTGCTTATGTGTTATAGTGTGAATGGATTGCGTTCTCATGTGTTGGGGCACACATATATGTGTGCATGTTCATCTGTGTACATATGTATATAGAGGCCTGAGGTGGACATCATGTGCTAGAATTAGGACAAACCACCACACCCAGCTGGCATGTGTGTGGGTTCTAGGCCCTGAACTCTAGTCCCCACTCCTACCTGGCAAGCGCTGTATCCACTATCTATCTCCCCAGCCCCAGAACAGC